AAAGGTCACTCAATAGATGTCATGGGGATTTACATCATTAAAATAAGACTCTTTCACTTTTTTTTTTAAAAGACTCTTTCACTTTTAATCTCATCTCTTTTCCTAGCATACACTGAAATGGCAGAGGCAATCCATGCATTTCTGATTGTTATTAGGTGTCTTCAGGTTGAGTGCAACTCACAGCGACCCTATTAACAACAGATATGAATCCTGTACTATCCTGTGCCATCATCAACATCGCTGATACACTTGAGCCCACTGCTACAGTAACCACATCTATCCATCTCATTGGCGGGGGTCTTCTCTTTTGCTGACCCTCCACCCTTCCAAGCATAATAACACTTTCCAAGGAAGAGCAACATGCCCAAAGTAGGAAAGACAAAGTTTTGCAGTTCTTGTCTCCAAAGAACACACCAACTTAAGACATATGTATGTGTACATTCTTTTGGCAGTTCACGGATATTCAGTACTTTTCTCCAACATCAAAACTCTTAAGGCATCAATTCTTTTTCTGTTGTCCTTATTCACTGTCTGGCTCTCATATGCTTGACAAGTAATGAAAACGACTGTGGCCTGAATCAGGCATACATAATAAGTCTTCAAACTGATATCACTGCTCTTCAGTATTTTGGCAGGGGCTGACAGTAATCTTGCCCAAAGCAGTAAATCTTCTTATCCCGACTGCTAACGTTGAGGGTGTTGATGGTGAATCCAAGTAAGATGAAATCATTCACAGATTCAATCTTTTCTCCATCTATCATGTTGTTGCCAATGGCCCAGGAATGGTTGATGTTTGTTATATGTCATCAAGTTGCTTGCGACTCATAGCGACCCTATGTACAATAGTTATTAAGTCTGCCCTGTCCTAACCCGGTCTCAATGACTCTGAAACACCTACCCCCATTGCTCTAATAACTGTATCAATCCATCTCATCCAGGGTCTTCCTCTCCTGTGCTGTCGCCTCCACCCTTTCAAGCATCATGTCTTTCTTGAAGGACCAGTCACTTCTGGCCACATGCCCAAAGTATGAGAGATGGAGCTTCAAAACCCTAGCCTCCAAGGAGAAACTTGGTCTTACCTTCTCCAAGACACTTGTTTTCTTGGCAGTCCATGGTTCAAGACTCTTCTCCAGCACCACAACTCAAAGTCATCTATTTTTCCTCTATCATCCTTAGTCATTTTCTAGCTCTCTGATGCATAGCAAGTAACTGAAAAGACCATGGATGAAATCAGGCATACCTTAAGTCTCTAGACTGACATCATTGCTTCTTAGTACTCTTGAAAGTTCCCTGAAAGCAGATTTACCTAATGCAATTCAACTTTTGATTTCCTGACTGCTGATGCCAAGAGTGCTGACCGAGGAGGCACGGAAGCTGTTAACTATTAACCACCTCAATCTCTTCTCCATCCACCATGATGTTGTCAACTGGCCCAATGGTCAGAGTCTTTACCTTCTTGATGCTGAGAATCTTTATCTTCTTGATGCTGAGCTTCAATCCATATTGAAGCCTACAGTCCCTGGGCCTCTGCAACAAGTGCTTCAGGTTCTCCTCAGTTTAAGAAAGGCTGTGTCATCTGGAAAACGTAGGTTGTTGAGTCTTCCTCTAATGCTAATGCCACACTCCTCTCATAAAGCCCAGAGTGATCTGTCCTACATATAAACTGAAAAGGTACAGAGACAGGACACATCCCTGATTTACTCCCTTTATGATTCTGAACCATGAGTGTTTTCCTGCTCTGTTCTGAGGCCTTATTCCTAGTCCAAGTAAAGGTTTTGTATAAGCACAATCAAGTGTTCTGGGATTCCCATTCTCCTGAAGGTTAACCACAATTTGTTGTGATCTACAGTCACATACCTTCTGATAGTCAATGAAACACAGACAAGACATTCCGCTGGTACTCTCTGCTTTCTGCCAAGATACATCTGACATTGGTGATAATGTCTCCAGTGTCACAACCTCTTCTAAACCCAACTGTTATTTCTAGTAGTTCTCTATCAATGTATTGTTCCAGTAGTTTCTGGATAATCTTCAGCAGAATTTTGCTTGTGTGTCATATGAGCAATACTGTATGATAATTTCCACACTCTGTTGAGCCACTTTTTTTGGGGGAATGGGTTAGCATCTTTTTGGTGAAACATGTCAATTGGTGAATACCATCAATTCCTGGGGCTTTATTTTTTGCCAAGTCCTTCAGAGAAACCACAATTTCTTTATTTTCTTGATACTGAGATACAATCTATATTGAAGGCTGAAGTCTGATCTTTTGCAGCAAGCACTACAGGTCCTCCTCACTTTCAGCAAGAAAGGCATAGTGCCATCTGTGTAACGCAGGTTGCTGATAGAGCCTTCTTTCAATTCTGGTACCATGTTCTTAGTAGACATAGGCTTCATGAATTATTTGTTCAGCTCACAGAATGAATAGCTATGGAGAAAGGATATACCCTTGATGCATACCCCTCCTGATTTTAAACTACACAGTGTTCCCATTGTTCTGTTGTATATACAGATTTTGTAAGAGTACAAATACGTGTTCTGAGATTCCGATTCTTCTCAATGTTAGCCATATGCTTTTGCATAGCTAATAAAACACAGATAAGACATTCTTCCAGTGTTCTCTGCTTTTAGCTAGGATGCACCTGATAATAACAATATGCCTAGTGCTATGGGCTCCTCTAAACCCAACTTGAATTTCTGGTAGTTCTCTGTCAATGTCCTGTTCCACCCGTCTGGGGATGATCTTCAGCAATATTTTGTTTGCATGTGATGGTAAAGATACTGTTGAATGATTTCCAGGTGATTCTATTCAATTATCTTTCTTGAGAATGGGAACAAATATAGATCTCTTCCAGTCACTTGGCCAGTCAGTTATCCTCCAAATTTTCTGGTATAGATTATTGAGTATGTTCAAGGTTACATCTGTTAGCTGAAACATGTCAATCAGTATCCTATCTATTCCTGGGGCCTTATTTTTTGTCAGTGTCTTCAGTATAGCAAGAACGTCAGTGCTATCTATGTCACCAAGAAAGAGTCTTGAAGGCCACTCTTCCTACTTATAAAATGCCACAGCTGCTATTCTAGAGAATCACCTAATATTCCCAAAAATGTAAGACATAATCATTTCTGAACTGTTTCCTGGAAATCATTCAAAAAAAGTAGGAACCAATCTGTCAAAAAATCTCAAGCCATGTAACACTGGATTAATCTGTGTCTGGTATCAAGTATATTAGTTACCTTTTTTGGGGGGAGGGTCTCTTCATGGACACATACACTGTTTATTGATAAAACAATTTTGAGTGAAAATTAACAAGACTCTTGTCTGAGGTCACCTGGTTAAGCTAATCCATGTTTTAGTTGTCATTACTGGGCCCAATTCCTTGAATTTTTGTCACAAATGCCTAAATTTAGTTAGTCTAATTTTGGCTTAAATTTACCTTTTTACAATTAAACCATTTTTCTGTGTTCATAAAAATGATATAAAATACTTAACAGAACATGGTGACAGCTGAGAAAAGTATAGTTACACATAAACCAATTAAGATTAACTCATAACATTTTCCTTTAAAATTTATAAATATCCTTTTTTAAAATAGTGGAATCATATTGCATATACATGTTTTGCATTTATTTATTTTCTGTTTCATCCAAATTATATTTGGCTGCAGACAAGCCATAAAAGTATTAGAATTTTCATTATTTTAAATAATCCAAGAGAAAATCTTTGTAAATATATTTGAGCCTGATTCCATTTCAATCAAATGAAATTTTAAAGATATATTCAATAAATGACAAGATAAAAGCTTTTAAAGTTTTCTGATCACTTACTCTTAGATCTTTTCTAAAATAATTATGTCCACTTACACTACAGGATTAACATGTTTAACAAAACAAAAACCAAACAACACCTATCCACCCTTTAAAGTGAGAGAATATATATCTATATATGAATATAGCCTTCCCTAATACCCAACTAACAAAGGGATTCCTTTGACTTTTTTTAAAGTTCTCCCCAATATTCATGTCCGTAGTCCTTTAACGCTAACATTAATCTTCCTCATACCAAGACCATTTTAAACAAAATACTTTTTCAAATGGAAAAACTCTTTAAAATAAAAAAAATAAAAAAAAACCCCACAACCATTAAAAACAGAACAAACGTCACATTTCTGCACAAAAAATAGAATTGGAAGAAAAATACAGTATGAATTAGTTCTAAAATATTACACTTGGGTGTTCTACTCACTTTCCATAATTTTAAAATTGCTCTGTATCTTTACACAGAGCTCTTGTGGCCAAATGGGCAAAAAGTTGTGCCGTTAACCCAAAAGGAAGGAGTTGAAATTCTCCAGCTGATCCATGGACTTGTAATTTAGTCTCTGAAAGCCCACTGAAGGGTTAGCCAGGAGTTCCGACTTAATGGCATACAACATAACCACCTTTACATGGCACTTTATCCAATTAAGGAGCCCACTAGCATAGTATATTATGTACTGATCTGCTAACCACAAGGCCAGTGGTTTCAATCTACCAGCTGTTCACTCCACAGGAGCTATGACAGGGAGCACCCTTGCCCTAATCCCTACAAAAATTTACAGACCCAAAAATCTGAAGGAGAAAGATGGAAGAATTAATTCAACGTCAGTGGGTTTGGTTTGTAACATGTCAACCAATGTGAAATGAAATACTGCCAAATAACTGAGATAAATAAGTCTCAGTTTTTATTGGTTGGTTTTATTTTTTGTGGCACAGAAGAAATCTGAATGGACTAGAAGAAATTCAGAATACTGGAGATGAATTAATTAGTATTACAATTTCATCTCAAGAAGCCCGCTTAAGACCATAGCAAATCTTGGCATCCTCTTCGGATTTAATGTCAAGGTGATTTCTGCAAAGCCCCAAATAAACTTTTCGGGTGTACTGCAGCTAGAGTCCACTGCAAAACCAATAAAGATCATTTTAAAAAGAGTAAAGCAAACTGAAACGACTTTTTTTATACTTACTAGTTTGGCTTGTGCTTCTGCAATTTTTCGGTTATTCTCTTCCAGTATACGCTCTAGCTCCTCACGTTTTGCACGTTCTTCCTCCTAAAGGGGAGGACATGTTAAAATGTTAGAAAAATAAAATGTTTATTTTTACTGATAAATAGTGACTAATCTTTCTCTGAACTTTTTGATCTGACTTACAGGGTAGCTTTATAACTACCTCTGACAAATGATAAACTGTGCAGCCACTAACATTGGTTTCTAGCACTAAATTTAAATCATCCCTCCCAGTCCAAACAGCAACCAACTAAACCCTCCCTAATGATAGTTTCCTGGCAATTATTACTAGTACTTAAACATCACACAAATCAACAAGGACAACTACAAAACTGGATAGTATTTACCAAATTAAAAAAATTAATACATAAAATATAAATAAAGTGAATATTTGTCTCACCAATTATGTATACCTACGTATTCTTTACCTATACTCCTTTAATCAGCATTAAAAGTTGAATATTTACTGTCTTGTCCAGTGTCCTGCAGAGTGTGCTCCTCGGCTGCCATACACGCCAGCTTCCTCTTTAAAATGATTTGTACTGTTAGCTTGGCAATACCTGCATCAGCAGCTCAACCATTTATAAAGAAACAACATACAAGGAAGGCTGAGCTGAGGAATGCAGATGTTTATGGTAAGAAGGAACAAAAAATGTAATTCATCATTCCTAAGGCAAACAATTAATAAGAAAAATACATTTACTGTTAGTGAAAAATACAAATGGAAATCCATACTTCATGGAACTAAGGGCTTATTCCATGGGGAAAATGGACTTAACATTCAGATGTTGACAATTTCTAAAGGCAGCTTATATTGTCATCTACAGTCTGAACTGAAATTCAGGAATCCAAGGGACGCATGGTCAGGAAATAAAATTCTGTAGTTTATTTTTTCTTGGAAATTTAATGAGGTTTTATAATGCAACTATATGAAGATTGCTTGATGGTTTGGGCAGTGTTCAGATCACAGCATACATATTCAAATGATTTTAGTATTTGGAAAGACTGTCAGAGGATTGTGTCCGTGTTAAAAAAAAAATTGTTAATATGAAACAAAAAGCACATGAAGAGAAAAAAATCTTACTATGATTAATAACTCGCTACAAGACAGCACAATTACTCCAAAAAGTTCAATATTAAAAGCACTGAAATAAATAAAAATTTCATACATTCAGTTTTACAGCTGGTGAAATCCACTATAACATAGACAAGTATAGCTATCAAAGACAGCATGAGGGGGAAAAGCATTTTAAAAGCCAAACTTACTAGAAAGTAAAGAGACTGAACATTTTTTCAACTTGTCCACAATAATGCCAAGATTAAAAGTGACAATGGGTCATATATTTTTTAGTATAGTATATATGTTGAAAAACACAAACTACAGGATTTCCTATGGCACACACCCAGGGAATTCATATTCACTTATACAAACTACGCTGAGAAACACTCAGTGCTGTAAAATAAGGTGCCTTGAGTGTTTCAATGACTTTGATTAAATTTTAGGATCCTGGAGTAATCAGTGCAAATAAGCTATAAAGCTTCAGTAGCAAATTACTGTCTCACAGAAAGACATTTTCAACTTCTGCTCCAGCTGCTGATAAAACAAATCATGTGTTTAGCTTGACTCCAGACAAGGACAACCTGTTCCTTCATAACTCTCTAGAGAAAAAAAGGAGTTGTTAGTAGATACTAAAAAAGTGGATGAATAATCTGGACATTTTTTCCTAAAAAGATTTTTTGAAACACATTAGAAAAATAGAGGGTCTTATGATCAGAATGCTAGAATTAGTCCATTGTACTGGAAGAGGATTTAGGGAAGGGAGATAAGGGATAAAGGAAAAAAAGGAAAAAAAAAGAAGAGTAAGAAAACCTATTTATCAAAAGCAGGTGCTGTCACTCAATTTTAGGCCCTGCTCTTTTCTGACTGAAGGCAAAAAGCCTCTCACAGTCTAAGTAATAGAGTGATAAACAGAAAAGAATGTATAACCACAGGTGGATATTAACTTTTCCCCTTTACCACTCCCTGTCTCCCCCTCCCTCCCAAAAAAGAAATGTAAGTCCTGCAGCCATGGCAAAAGTTTCAAACACTTCTCAAATATGTAGGTCAGTTCCATTAAATCAAAAAGTGTTCCTTGAATATGTTTTATGAAAATAACTTTTAAGCATTAGTCAGCACTTCTGAATAGGCTAAAAAAATTATCTTTCGCAGCAATGTAAGTTTAGATGAGAAAGGAATTAGATAGTCTGTATTCCATCTCTTTCTGAACTGAGCAGGAGGCACAACCTGACACTGAAAGTTTTGCCATGGACTGTCTCTACTTTCCAAACGACCGAGCGTTACCTCTCTAGCTTTTTGTGCTGCAAGCTCAGCTTGTCTCTGTCGCTCGAGTTCTTCGAGCAACTGCTTTTCCATGATGCGCTTGGCTTCCTCCACCCTTCGGAGAACTTCTCTCTCAATTTCATCTTTTCTTTTCTCCAATTCTTCCTCTACCCTCTTTGCCACCAATTCTTCCACTCTTCGTGCTGTCTCTTCTTCGATGAGTTTTTCTTCTATTTCCTGCTGCCGACTAGCAAACAAAATTGAAAAAAAAAAACAAAACTTAGCTAATATAAACAAAAAAATAATTTAAGCAAAACTATTAACTGGTTAACTTTCATGGATCATTTAAGGAAATAAAACAGAAACAATGAAATAATACAAGAATACAAATAAATATAAAACCATGTTTTTACTCTATCACTTTCTAAATACAAAGACTGTGCAAATAAATTCTTGCTGCTATGTGACTCAGCTAGCCCCGCAAAAGACAAGTACCCCAGTATTTTCCAGAAGCCTGTGGGTCAAGGCTGATACCTTAAAAACTTTGGGGCAGGCCAAGAAACAGCACTATATACCAGACCTACAGGACACATTACCCTCCCCTGGGAAGCTATGCCATTGTGACCACAGTGTACGACAAATGGAAGAGAAGAAGCCCTAAGGCACAAGTAGTCAATTCTGGAGCAAAAGTTCAAGGCAAAAGACTTGTCCTCAGAACTGTCCTAGATAAGAAGCCTTCCCTTGTACCAGTACCTGGTATTTGGACTTACAGACTACTAAACTCAAAAGATACTGCCCACAGCAAGAGAAAACTGGCAGCAGCTTGAGGCGTTTGAAATCACAGAAGCCCAGAAGAGATCTGAGCCATCATATCAAGGGCTGGATACAGGGAGATAAGTGTTGAATGGAGTAGGTAGGAGAAGAAGGGAATGCTGGTGGAGCAGGGAAACAGGTGGGTCAAGACACACTTGTCAAGAGTGGGAATAACACTGAATCTGTTGGTTATTTCTACAATTGGGGAAATAGCTTTCATCTGTTCTTTTCTGTAAAATGCTTGTCTGTCAGATAATGTTCTAAATCTGAACATTCAAATTAAGACAAGGAAGAAAGACTGACCATCCACTTCTGAAATAGGAGGCCTTCGAAATCCCTATGTACAACAGAGCACACTTTAAGACTAGCAGATAGGACCACTGAGGCTAAGAGCCCTCAAGTATGGAAACACAAAGGAGGAAGAATGGTTGTAAGCAGACACTAGTGATTGGAACACAGAATGTGAGAACCATGAATGTAGGAAAACTGGATATTGTTAAGAAAAAAATGGAATGCATAACTATTGACATACTAGATTTTGGCAAAACAACATGGACTGGCTTGGGACATTTTGAGTCAGACGATCCTATGATCTACTATGCTGGAGATGAAAACATGAGGAAAAATGGGGTTGCTTTCATAGTTAAAAAAGTAATTTCTAGATCCGTCTTGAAATACAATGTTGTGAATAACAGAATAATATGCATATGCAAATAAATTAATGAGCTTAATTTAGAAATTGTAAGATAAATGTGAATTAGGAAATCTACCAATTGTTAAAACAAATGCACCTGCTTCTTTGCCAATCCAGTTTATCCAAAAGGTTGAACTAAATAAACAAAACAGTGAGCTACAGATTAGTCAGCAGAAACTACTACATAGCAGCAAGTAATTCAGACTGGCTAGATTTTGTTTTCTTCTCCTTCTGAAGGAAAAGCAGAACATAAGAGAATGCAGAGACTAAAAGGACTTCTAGTGAAACTATAGATCAAGTTCTTTTATACCTTTGAGATTACCCTCTCCGTTTGCTAATTGATTTTCAATTATAAGCTCACCTAGAGAAGAAAAACTGGATAAAAATGTTTGTTACCATTATTACTTAAAAAGCTTAATGAAGTATGATATTCTTGGTTTAATGTCATATTTTAATATCAGATATTAAAACTAATCCAATCAATAAAATTCCATGCTCAAACATTACTTATGAAGGTATTGGCCAAGTGGTATGGTAATAAGCTGTGCTGCCAGAAGAAAGCCATGTGGTTCAAATCTACCAGTTGCTCAGTAGGAAAAAGACAGGCAATCTCCTATGATATTTATTTCCTCTGAAAAACTGATGGAAGATTAGTAATGAGTCTCTTCAAAGTGGATGGCAAATACCACCACCACCACAGTTTTATGTGTCTAGTCCAATCTAAAGAAAAAAATAAGTATGTGAAAAATTTCAAACATATGATCACAAGGTATATGACAGTTTGGATACCGGCTACAATGGGGAATACATTCCATCTCCAAGGTAATGAGTTTGAGAATGAATTTGGAGAGCAAACCCAAATCCAAAGAGAACAATTTATTAAAGTTTCCACTTTCTCACAAACTAAAAAAGTTAGGACTCATTTGACAGACATTTAAGTAAGTCACCTGATTTATCTTTTCAGTAATCCATTCAGTTCAACTGTACTTATAGGGGATGATTCAATTCCAGTAAGTGCATTCAATCTCAATTCCTGTTACTGGTTCTCAGTACCACACTCACATCAAGGTAGGTTTGACTCATTTCCGTTTCTACACTTAGCCTGTTTGACAAAACCTCTTTTCCTATAAAGTTGTAGATATCTGTAATGCCCATTCTAAGGATTCAATCATTAACTCAATCATTAAAGGACTCAATTATTTAACTATTTCTTCCCAAATTTATTGATAATTACATAGAACCCACACATACTCTATGCTACATTCGCCTCTTAAATTCAAACAGCATATTAAAGCAATATAAATAGCTATAATAGCTTTTATCTATAGGAGTATTCTAACAGATAAATACATAACTGTAAATAAATCAAGCTATGTAAATAAAGCAGTAATTTCAATGACAAACTACAATCTAACAAATGTTTCAAATACAAAAATATTACCTCTATGTTTTATTCAAAGAAAAACAAAGTGTCAGCTAAAATAAGTAAAGGTGGATATGCCTGATAGGTATGTAAGGACTAATCATAATATTCTCTCTACTTTGGATAGGTTGGAAAGTTTTTATAATAAAATACTTTTAACATGTACACATACTTCCTAATAATTTGATTCTTATTTAATCAGTAAAGAGCCTAACAAGCAATGTTAAAACATTTTAAAAAATGTACAATTCTACTAATTACCAACGCTAAATGGGGCATACTGTTTTTGTTATGTGTCATCAAGTTGGAACCAATCTATCATCTCTTCTTCATAAAGTCCAGTTCCTAAACGACCTGTTCCATATATGGATTGAAAAGGTATGGAGAAAGAATCAATCCCTGATGCACTGTCTTCCTGATTTTGAAACATGCAGTATTCCCTTGCTCTGTTCAGACAACAGCTTTTTGGTCTAGGTATAGGTTTCACATGAACATAACCAGATGTTCTGAAATTCTCCTTTTTAATATTAGCCACAATTTGCTGTGATCCACTGAGTCAAATGCTTTGCATAGACGATAAAACAAATATTTCTGATACATTCTACTTTCAGCCATGATCCATATGAACTCAGCAATGATACCCCTAGTGCCACAACCTCTTCTAAATCCAGTTTCTATTTCTGGCAGTTCCTGTCAATGTACTATTCCAGTTGTGTTTGGATAATCTTCAGCAAGATTTACTTGCAGGTGATGTAAGTGAAATTGTTCATTAATTTTCACTACGTAGAAGAGGTTTAACCAACCAAAGAGGAGTCAGGTAGAAAACATCATGCTCACAGAAAAAGGGAAAAATGCCCTCACAGAATTTCTCACAAGGCTATTCAATGTTTAGCTCTCTTTGTTCCTAGAACAACCCAAAGACATCCAACCATGATTCAGGCCTTGCTGACGTGGCCTTCACTTTACTGTGCTTACAGATAAACAACACAGTTTTGGTGGTTTTTTTTCCTTCTTTTTTTAAATTGAAGGTTTGGGTAACCCTGCTGTCAAGCAAGTCTATTAGTGCCGATTCCCCCAATATCATTGTGCTTACTCTGTGTGTCACGTTTTGGTAATTCTTAACAATATGTTAATCTTTTTCCTAAAGCTACTGTGCACTCAGGAAGATCTGATGGCCCAGTGGAAAGGAGAACACTGCCAACCCAAAGGCCCACAGTTCGAATTCACCAACTGCTCCATGTAAGATGGGCAATTTACTCCTGTGTAACCTACTGCCTCTGAAAACCTGCTGAAAGGTTAGCTATGAGTTAGTTCTGACCTGTCAGTACATAATCACACTACTGTACATTTAACAGGCCAGAAAATACAAAAATTGCAGCTCATTGCCAACAATTCATTAACTCACAGCTAATCCTCCATTGAGTTTCTAGGTTATAAATTGAAGAGGAGCTGGTGAACTCAAACTTCCAGAGGCTTGGCCATGGGATAGTAGTGAAACTCGCTATGGGCTACAGCACCAGAACTCCCTTAATAAAATTTTCTTTCTCTCTGCCATCAAGTTAGAATCAACTATAGTTGACAATTCAGTACCATGCCCAGGAGACTGTTATTTCTCTAATAGTGTCTCTGATAGATTTGAACATTATACATTCACCAACCTTGAGTTAGCAGCAAAACTTCTACAGACACCACCACTTGAGCTCCCCTAATGAGACTATAATATAGTGTAAATATTACCGTTTTATGTACTGGAAAAATCAACAAATGTGACTTGCATTACTATTAATATTTACTAGTATTTTATTTACTACAGCAGCTTGGAATCAAATATGCAATATATTCAAGGGATTTTTACACAGGTTAGGGTGTTGCAAAACCATTCTCCTGCAATTATGAGGACAAATACCACTTTTTGTTGTTGTTATTCTTCCTGCATTCCAAGTTTTGTGATTGCTTTGTATTATTTGAGTAACAGCTGATTTAATAGGCCTTACCTGTATGCCTATAGATAGGATTATATCACTCACAGCATTGTACCTTAGGATATATCTTGAAATGCTCTTTCTGATGATGAATACTACTTTATTTCTTTTCAATTTGTCTTTTTCCAGCATAGATGATTACGTGACTAGTTCATTAAAAATGGCCAATGCCTAGGTTGTCAATCCATGCATTCCATTTCTAACTTCCAATTTTACTTGATTTATTTACTTTCTACATTCTACACTCCAATTCTTAATGAGTGTCTGCAGACATATCTTCTCATTTTGAGTCTTGCCATACACCAGTCACCATATCAATCCACCTGGTTGAGGGT